CGTGATTCAAAGATCACGTTTAAGATCATAAAATGTCTATTGTTAGCCAAACAGCTATAGTCTCCATCGTCGGAAGTGGCGAAACAAAAGGCGGAGACTGGACATAAGATAGAATGGTCTCGGATGCAGAGATTTGCTGATTATGATATGTCTGCTACGAAACACAAGATAAGAAAGGCTACTGAAATTAATAGAGTAGGGAATATATGTAATGTGAGGAATAGTGGTAAAAGAATTACTTATGTATGATTGAAAGATTGAAGGAGAAAGTGGGTGTTAATCAGCTGACCAAAAGAAGATGACTCAACTTGTCAGCTGAGTGATGCTTAGAACCAAATTCACCCTCATTCAACTTGCATGCCAAGCTCATCAACCAAGACGGACGTGCAAAACTATGCAATCCTATCCATGCTTTTCCTCGGGTAATTAAACCTTAATAGCCCAGACTAACGGTTTCGGACTGGTGGTTTCTTAACCTGGTCTTCACGCGCACAGGCTTGTATATCATCAATTCAACTAGGATTACGTACGGACTAACGCAATCTCGGGCTTCCTTTTTACAATTTTCCTTAGGTCATAAGCCTTGATGACCCGGGGCTAATGATAAACTTTTTTCTAATTACTCTAATTTATAACAGGTTTTACGTACAGACCGGAAACGCGAAATAAACACGGTAAAAATTGCATTAGGGCAGGGATATTAGGATGCTACCGCAAACGCGGATAACCCAGGCCGGAAGGGGAGATACCATATTTGTTTAGCATACGTTTGGTCAAAGGATCGGCTTCACTTGTCTCTTTGACGAGTGGCTGTATGGTGCTTAGGATAGCGACACTCACTGACGATGCCGACTACGATGCTGGCGAAACGTTTGGGAATGTTCCAAGTCCACGGTTCAATTTTGGAAATGAACATGCAGACAATGGACCCCGGACTAGGTGCGTTCCAATTAGTCTTCCTACCAATATGACCATGTTGCGAAAACTAGGTCAAACAACCTCCTTACGTACAGATGTTAACATACATACACACACAAACACGCTCCAGTATACGTGAATTAATCAAACTTTTCTATATCCATCTATATCTTAAATTTTGCTAGCAATGAGTACATAAATCATATATGAAAAAGTCGGTTACTCTTCTTGACTTAGTGTTAACTTGAGGCTTTTGCAAGAATGAGTCCCAGCTCTGACGATGTTCGTCAAAAGACATTACGAACGAAAACTCAGTCCGTCTTCGCCTGAAAAGTTGGAAGATGTCTGGTGGACTGCGTCAACCCAAACGTAGTATTAGAGCCAAATGGCTGTAAGATAACGGGGATTCACCGGCGTCTTCTAATGAGATTAACTTACGAATCTCTTCATCATGCACTAGCATACGAAACTAAAGTCATCACAACAATCTTAGCTCAAAATATTCTAGGAAGCTTGCATTTCCTTCGTAATGTATAGTGAAGATGAATTATCAGTCCATAATACAGCCACGCTTGTCGTTGACCCACAGGACAGCAGTGAACTTCAAGGCAGGCAAGGCCTCTCTCAATTCACACTCACTATTATTACTGACAAGGCAAAAAAAATTTTTGTTGCAATCGAAGCTGTTGCCAATTTTTTAGTGGGTTATGTGTCGCCGACCTGGCTATAATCGTCGTATGGTTACTTTGTGAATAGCTTCTTTGTGCTGACAGAAATTGCATTACA